TACCAATCCAAAGGTAGCACTCATGTTCCTTCCAACTAGATCGGATCTTCAATCTGTTCTTTTTGAAATAATTGCTGAATATCGTCAAGACACAAAACCATTCTGTAGCATTAAAGAAATAAGCAAGCATAATGAGGAAGAAGAAGTCCTTTTCTCTATCGGAAGTATATTTCGAATTGAATCAGTTGATAACTTCAGCAACGGAGTCACGAAGATAAGCTTGACATTGACTACAAAAGAGGATGAACAGCTGAAGCAATTAAGACAACACATTCGCATGGAATTCGGAGAAGAGTTAAACCTGAACGCCCTCGGTTTACTCATGATAAACATGGGAGAATGTCAGTACGCTAAACAATATTTCACAACATCAATTCAAAAACACCAGCTAGCACACCCTGCTATTTCACAAAACTACTATTATATCGGACTAGTTCACGCCAAGAACGGTGAATACGATAAAGCATTAGAGAATTATGAAAGGACACTTGAAATTGAACTCAGATCATTGCCATCCAATCATCCATCATTAGCAACTACATATAATAATATTGGATCAGTTCACGATGAGAAAGGTGAATACGATAAAGCATTAGAGAATTATGAAAGGACACTTGAAATTGAACTCAGATCATTGCCATCCAATCATCCATCATTAGCAACTACATATAATAATATTGGATTAGTTCACGGTGAGAAAGGTGAATACGATAAAGCATTAGAGAATTATGAAAGGACACTTAAAATTCAACTCAGGTCATTGCCATCCAATCATCCATCATTAGCAACTACATATAATAATATCGGATCAGCTTTAAAGGCAAAAGGTGAATACGATAAAGCATTAGAGAATTATGAAAGGACACTTGAAATTCAACTCAGGTCGTTGCCATCCAATCATCCATCATTAGCAACTACATATAATAATATTGGATTAGTTCACGGTGAGAAAGGTGAATACGATAAAGCATTAGAGAATTATGAAAGAACACTTGAAATTCAACTCAGGTCATTGCCATCCAATCATCCATCATTAGCAACTACATATAATAACAAGTATCGTTCATCTTCGATTCACTGACCCTTGACTGAAAATGGGTTTTTAGCGATGATTTGGTGTTAGTATGCGCTTAGCTTTTTAAAGGGATGGAGAAACAGGAAATTTTTGTTTATTTATGGGTATGATTGCATTAGATCCAATGACATATGACGTGTTGAAGAAAATATTTCCTAGGATTTGATCGTTAACATTACGAGGCGCTTAATCATTTTATTTAAACAGAACACGGAAAAGCATAAGAAAAACAGTAACTGAACTGAAAAACATCTAAAGTGAACTCTATAATAAGAATGTTTACTATTTACACTCGAGATCCAAAAACCCCTCACCTGAAACAGGCAGAGAGAATNAACTATAAATATGTATTTCAAAAATATGCTCATATAGCACAATTGTCGAAATACTTGGCCGACATCATCATTTTTGCCTGAGTGCTTTAAATACTCCTTTAGTCATTTTTCTGGCATAATGAAAAATTATATATTTGTCAGAAACATACCATTGCATAGCCCCTGAAATTCTCTAGAAAGTGAGCTGATCAGAATATCCAGGCAGGTGGGACCAGTCATTAAAGATATGTACAAGAAGCGTTTGGGTGTTCTCTATGCAGTACAGTGTTTCGTAATCACAAGAACTCCTTTGTTTTTTATCTTTCGGTAAAAGCTGGAACTATTCGGAATACTGTTTTGAATAGCCCGAAGATTTTTCCATCAAATGAGGTGTACATCGCCGTTTCCTGGGAAAAGCTGATAATAGGGGAAATCGGACGAGAAAACTGCCGAAAAATCTAAATCGCTTTTGTTGAACTGGTGGCGAAAAACGAACAGTAGTTTTCGTTTGAAAGACAGCAGAAGGAATTTTTGAG